AGACAGCTGCCAGGGAAGGGGGGGTGGTGGTAGGGGGTATGGGCAAAGTGAAAAGGCAAGAGGGGGACGCAGGCTTCCAGTTAAGGAATGAACACATCACAGCAATAAAAGGCATAGCACAGGGAATATAGTCAATGATGCTGTAATAGCATTCTATGATAACATACGGCAGCTATGCTTGTGGTGAGCATAGCATAACATATAGAGAAGCTGAGTCACTATGTTGTTTACCTAAGACTAATGTAACAGTGTGTGTCAACCATACTCAAAAATATTTTTTATTTTTATTTTTTTTAATTTTTTTAACGTTTATTTATTTTTGAGACAGAGAGAGACAGAGCATGAGCAGGGGAAGGGCAGAGCAAGAGGGAGACACAGAATCTGAAACAAGCTCCAGGCTCCGAGCTGTCAGCACAGAGCCCGACGCGGGGCTCGAACTCACGGACCGCGAGATCATGACCTGAGCCGAAGGCGGATGCCCAACCAACTGAGCCACCCAGGCGCCTCTCAAAAATATTTTTTAAAAGGAGACCAAATGAGTTATAAAGAATATCAAATTTTAGAAATTTCACAATGTGTCCAAATTTCTTCAACTGCAGCTAAAAGGTTCCTACATATTAACACCGTGTGCTGGACATCGTTCTAAAAGCTTTAATTATATTGGGTTGAATGTCTGCAGTTTCTCATATTCAGCTGTTTTTAGACCTACGGAAAAAATTCACATGGCTCAACCTAAGACTTTCCTCCCACCAAATCCACTATATATGATGTAACAAAAGCACAGAAAGAATAAGTAGTATGCTGGTAGTTAGTAAACAGAATAATTAGGATTAATACTAAAACAGCTGAACTTCAGACCCTTCACTTTTAATCACGTTGTATTAACTGTTATTATTAATTATTAGTAATAAGAGTAATACTAAGCTTAAGGCACTTGGGAGAATACAAAAATGTTATTTCATGAAGATAATGTCTGTCTTGTCTATCACTATATTCCCAGAACTTAGCCTAGAGCCTTGAACAGAATAAATACTAAATAAATAGTTACTGAATGAATAAAAGCAAAAATGATTAAATGAATGAATAAATACTGAGATATTTTCTAACCTCCAATCACTTACCACCTTATAAGAAAAATAAGACCTATATGGAATAACTATAAGAATGTAGTAGCATAACAACTCGGGGTGCAGGGACACAGGCACCCCAACCCCAAGGCCCACACCACCAGGACCACAGCAGGAGGGAAGTTCTGCTCTAAGTGCTCAATAAGCTGGTGGGCTAAGTCATCCACGTGTGGGTGTTTCTGGTCCCCCACCACCCATCAGCCTGGGAGACGCATCTGTGTCGCAGGGACGAAGGTGCGCTGTGGAGGGGAGACCCTGTGGGACACCTCCTCTTTGCAGCCAGCCCAACTCCACACTGAATGCCACAGAGGGGCACAACCTGGCTCTTGGAGGTTGGCAGGTAACTCCTGTGTGCAGTCAGATTTGAACCCTGGTGGGTCAATCCACACCCCATACCTTCCACAGTATCAGATAAAGCACCTCTGAGCTTGTATTAAGTTCAGCTGGGCCACAAAACCACTAGTAAGTGTGAGAATAAAGGGAAACATAGCTAAAAGAGAGCAGGGACACTAGAAGGGGGAGCCCTACCACTCAGTATCATTTACAGAGCCCATCGGGGTACTGATCACAACTGTGATGCAGCCAGTGAGAAACTGTCATCACTCTGATCTCTTGCTGTTCTCCAGTGGATTTTGGTTCAGAAAAATCCCTCCCAGATTTTTTTTTCCATGAAATAAAGTTCCTTTCCTTAGAAAAAAAAAAGAATGCAGTAGCATAACAGGGGCGCCTCAGTCGGTTAAGCATACGACTTCGGCTAAGTCACGATTTCATGGTTTGTGAGTTCGAGCCCCGCATCAGGCTCTGTGCTGACAGCTCAGAGCCTGGAGCCTGCTTCAGATTCATTCATTCATTCATTCATTCATTCATTCTCTCTCTCTCTCTCTCTCTCTCTCCCCCTTTCCCTCTCCCTCCTTCTCTCTGCCTCTACCGCATTCACGCTCTCTGTCAAAAATAAACGTAAAAAAAAAACCAAAAGCAAAGAAAAGAATTCCCATACATTAAAAAACTGAATTTGGATAAATAAAAAATGATAGAAACTATAAGTTCAAGTTATTAGTTTGAGAACAGAAATGAATGCCATTATTTTTTTATAACTGGGAGTTTGTACTTGTACTGAATACTATTTTATGTCAACTACATATGCATAAATTACTTCATCCTAATAGACTTTTATTTACATTTTTCGTCTAAAGCTTGTAAATATACAAGTATCGGTTTTAACACAAGTGGAATCAATACTTTTCCTATTCTAAATGTATGTGCTGACAGAAACAGGTGCAAATATATGTATCAGCGTCTCTAATTTTCTTTCTAAGGAAAAGACAATTAAGTGACCAAGGTGCTTGGCTGGCTCAGTCCACACAGCATGTTGACTCTTGATCTCAGGGTTGTGAGTTTAAGCCCCAAGCTGGGCATA